CACAGTGGCACCTGCTGTCTGTTGGAAGCTAGAGAAGGCAGCCAGTCTGTGTTGAAGGTGTGAAGACGCCTGGGAAGGACAGCCGTAGTTTACATCAAACTGAAACTAGTAAAAACCAAAGAAAGAAAGAAAGTAAGTTACAGGGACATGTGTATCATCAAATGAGACTCAGGGTGAGTTTCTACGATACAGAGTAGAGAAGCATTCTGGAGTGAAGCCCGTCCAGCTGCTGGCTCTGACCCAGGAACTGAAGCAGGGTTTTCTTTCAGAGCTGTCCATCCTGGAGGAGCTGGAGAGGGACGTGCAGATGGAGCAGCAGTACATCAGCTGTGTGGTGGAGGGCATGCAGGAGCAGAGACTCATCATCTGCCCCCTGTGTCACATGTGAGTCACATGACCATCATGCATTCACTTATCCAGACACAAGACGCTTTCAAACAAGTCACATTTAACACACAGTCACAGATTGGGGAGTTATGACGTGGAGGGTGGGGTTTGGAGGGGAAATGCCAGGGTGAAGAGGTGGGGTTTGGAGGGGAAACGCCAGGGTGAAGAGGTGGGGTTTGGAGGGGAAACGCCAGGGTGAAGAGGTGGGGTTTAGGGGGGGGTTGATTGCCCAATTTCCTATAGGGAGGGTCTATCCATCTATCTATTCATCTATCCATCCATCTATCTATCCATCCATCCATCTATCCATCTATCTATCCATCCATCTATCCATCTATCTATCCATCTATCTATCTATCTATCTATCTATCCATCCATCCCCCTCTCTCTCTCTCTCCCTCCCTCTCTCTCTCTCTCTCTCTCTCTCTCTCTCTCTCTCTCTCTCCCTCTCTCTCTCTCTCTCTCTCTCTCTCTCTCTATCCATCTGGAGGAGGTCATAGAGGTTGCTGAGGGCCAGCTGGTTAAAGCTTTGAAGGTGGGAGTGATGTAGTGGATTCTGTATCTGGGAGCCGGTGGAGGTTCTTGGAGGTCTGGAGCGATGTGGTCTCGGCGGCAGGTGGAGGGTCAGCAGGAGGAGATCTGGACGTATGGCAGTTTACTGGTGGTTTGGGAATCACTGCTCTAACCCAGTCTTCTTATCTCTAGTTAGTTTCAGCTGCTCTTAATTCTCCCATCAGTGGTAGAGGTACCATCAGTCAATCCCTCCGGTGTTAGTTTATCACAAATAAAACATGCTCTTTTGTCCCGCAGGAACAACTTGAACATCAACAGCCATTTTGTGTCCTGCTGCTGTGGACTGTACATCAACACTCAGGTCTGTGCGTTTCTTCCAGACACACGGTGGACTCTTACCACTCATTCCACAGACACGCCTTAAGGCATGATCTATTCTGTGCCAGAACAAAGCTCACGCCGGCTTTATCAACAGGTTTGAATTAAAATACACATCTGTGTTTTCGAGGAGGGGAAATTAGAGAAATGAGAAAGGGCCTTGGAGTTGGTCTCTGTGTCTCTCCATCTCTCTCTCTCTCCTGTTGAGCTGTTACTTTCAGACGGTGTCTCTCTTAGGAAACACTCGTTTGGCGCCATCTGTTGTTGTGGCTGTGTAATTACATCATCAAGTCTAGACCCTGAATATCAGACGAACCCTCTTTGTCAGATTTTTCTCTAGGAAAAAAAACCCCGTCTTATATTCGGGTCAATACGGTAATGGCTCTTCTTGAACCTGTTTGGTTGTGTGTTCAGGACCAGAACATCACCCCGGACCTCCTGCAGAGTCTCCTGGAGGCCCGGGTGTCGGAGCACATGGAGGATTGTGTGCAGAACCCCGTCTTCTCCGTCGCCCCCCCCACTGACGGCTCCCCCAGCCTGATGATCAGCTGCAAGGTAAGAAGCTGCATCATGTGAAGAGGCGTTCAGGGACATTTCTACCAAACACACTTGGATTTACTTTAGAGGTGAGAAGTAACTAAGTACATTTACTCAAGTACTGTGCTTACATCTTGAGGTACTTTAGAATCAGAATCAGAATACCTTTATTCGTCCCACATTGTTACAGCAGAGAAGAGCCAAAGACAGCTCGATGTTAACTAACATCGAGTATTTCCATTTTATTCTACTGTGTACTTCTACTCCACTACACTTATTTAATACCTTTAGTTAGAGTACTTCTACTTTTACTCAAGTACAAGATCTGAGTACTTCTACTTTTACTCAAGTACAAGATCTGAGTACTTCTACTTTTACTCAAATACAAGATCAGAGTACTTTTACTCAAGTACAAGATCTGAGTACTTCTACTTTTACTCAAGTACAAGACCTGAGTACTTCTACTTTTACTCAAGTACAAGATCTGAGTACTTCTACTTTTACTCAAGTACAAGATCTGAGTACTTCTACTTTTATTCAAGTACAAGATCTGAGTACTTCTACTTTTATTCAAGTACAAGATCTGAGTACTTCTACTTTTACTCAAGTACTTCTACTTTTACTCAAGTACAAGATCTGAGTACTTCTACTTTTACTCAAGTACAAGATCTGAGTACTTCTACTTTTACTCAAGTACAAGATCTGAGTACTTCTACTTTTACTCAAGTACAAGACTGATACTGAGTACTTCTACGATCTGAGTACTTTTAT